AAATGGAAAACATGCAGCAGAGAAGGTTTCCACCAGGAGGTCAGTCAGTGACCTCTGCCCAATGGAAACGTGGATGCATGAAAATCCCTGTAAATCCTCAACCAAAAAGTAAAAAGACGACTGTTAAACATCATCTACTCTTAGCATTACATTAAAGAGTGTACACACATATAAAGGAAACAAGCACCTAAGCACAGGTATATGGATATATAAATTGATTAAGAGAAAAAAAAAAAACAAAAAAACACAACATACCCATAGGATTTTATCTTGTAAAACCTAAATCTGAATATAGACCAGGTTAGCCTCAAGACATAAATTTAGCTGAAATGTTGTTTGCCCTCTAACCAGAAATGTATGTCTTCTGACATATTCCCATCCTGCTCAAATATATTTATATGTTGAACTGTAAAAAACTTTGTTTGATATCTCAGCAGTAGATTGTGCATTAGCTGCAATGCAGTGGAATGAGCCTCTGCACTGAGACGTACCGCCCTTCGTCACCGTCAATTGAAACAAGCTTCCATGATTAAAGACAGGAGCAGGCTAAGGGTCAAAGTTTTTTTTTTTTTTTTCATTGTTCGCTCAAGATTAAAAATATTTATTGCAGTGCAGGATGATACTAAATAATTTTTAACTTGCGTGGCTTATGTTGCATTTATGACGTGCATAAGCATATGAAAGAGAACTCTAAACACTTTCTTTTATAATTTGATGACTAGAAAGGAGCCACAAGTAGAAATTATACTATAGGCTTTTGAGAAATTAGAAAAGAAGGCATTTAATTAAATATCTTTGAATAAATGTGATTGAGCTAATCCCATGGCTGAGTTCTTCATACAATAATACTAACTGCCATGAATGTTTCATCACAAACTTCTGCTCATTTCAAGCCAAGGCTACATTTTAAAAGGCTGTAATGCATATTATTTTTTAAATAAATGCATTGTTAATTAATGACACAGCCTCCAGAGATTCAGGGGCAAGATCTTAGTTATAGATTATATGCTCCATGCTTGAATAGTCACATGTGTGACCTCAATTCAGCGGCGGGCTGCCAAGTAGGCTTCATGATTAAACACTGTCATTATAACAAATTGAATAGAAACCACAAGACTTGAATTGCTTCATAAGAAGGGGATTGGAAGGAGATTGTTCTGATCTTGCTGCTAATATCCACTGTGCTGGATTTTGGAGGTTTGTGTCTTAATTAAATTGTCATGAAGAGTTATAAAAAAGTAGTATATGGTAGAGAGTGAGGTCAACATAACTGCAGGGTATTTTTGTGTCTCCCACCCCAAAGCTTCCTATCTATCAAATGATGCCATCACTGTGGTCCAGAGGTAGGGCTGCCTTTCCAAGGCTTCTCTTTTCTCTATGGCCATTGGTTACTCAATTAAAAAGCCAGGGAATGGAAAACCAGCTGGAACAAAAGGAGAGTGAGGTTATTCCTGCCTAGAGGAGGAGTCACTTCCTGTTTAATTCCTGTATTTGTTTTCTTTGTTTTTTTTTAATTTTTTTAATCTTTATTTATTTTTGAGAGAGAGACAGAATGTGAACAGGTGAGGAGCAGAGAGAGAGGGAGACATAGAATCCGAAGCAGGCTCCAGGCTCGAGCTGTCAGCACAGAGCCCGACATGGGGCTTGAACTCATGAACCGTGAGTTCATGACCTGAGCTGAAGTCAGATGCTCAACAGACTGAGGCACCTAGGCTCCCCTAATGCCTGTATTTGAATTGGTTTTTCACTTATTCCCCTATCAAAAATAGAGGTAACTGTACCAACCTCTCAGTGCTGATGAAAATACAATTACTTCACTTCTGCTCACAAGCAGAATGCTGTTGAGAGGCTATCACAGCATGTCCTGTCGGTAATCACTGAGGCTGGAGGATAATAATAGCAATTCTCCTTTCTGGCACAAGGAAGGAGTACACTCTGCAGGTTAATCTACTATTAAGGGTAATGGAGGCACTTTCTTTAATCATTCCCTGCTAATTACGCCCTTGCTACTCAAAGTGTGATCCATCGGCTAGTTGGGATCAGGATCGCCTGGGAGCTTTTCAGAAATGGAGACTTTCAGACCCGCACTCTAGACCTCCTGATTCAGAATCTGCAATTTAACAAAAACTCGGCTGGTGTGTATGCACATAAAAGCTTGAGAAGCACTGCCCTGCCAGATCTTTAAGAGCAAAGTTTCCCGTTGTACATTATGAGTGCATTGGGAATGACCATAATGGGTATTCTAGGAAAATAAGGGTTCCCTGCCCAAGTATCTTTGGGAAGGGCTTCTAATTCAAATCCTGTTTTTGGACATCATGACAACTTCCAGTACCACAATGAAGGTTCTGAGAAGTGATCCAAAAAGGAAACCTGTTTGTTATTTGATGGATAACACTATTTGAGGACTAATCATTGTTTCCCAAATGATTTTTCCCCCTAACCTCTTCCTAATGTGAAAAGTCTATCAACGTTTTGTGGGAAAGTTTGCCTTCAGCTCTCCAAGGTGGACATCCTCTACAGATACACACAACATGCAATGCAGATGTTTAATTAGCACAGATTTACAGGGGACAGTATGTTGGGCTACCCAGCTTTGAGTGTATTTGGACTTTTTTTTTTCTTGAATGTCTCCCTCACTTCCCTCCCTGAACTTGTAAAGAGTTGAAGAAAGCTGATTGTGGTTTGACGTACATTTTCTCATTTAGGAAAAATCAATTCCCAAAAGCAGAATGAAGCAGAGCCAAGGCCTCAGACCGGCTCATCATTTGAATATGCCGAAAACACAATGGCAACTGAGCAGCTTCCAGACTGGGGCTGTGCAGCCCCCACGGCTGAGACCCAGGTAAGGGAGAGGCTGACAGAAGGGTACCTCCACTTATTTCCCCAACGGTGAACAATGATCTCCTTAAACACTTTTACAATAGATTCAACTTTTGAATCAAATTTGCCATTGGCTCTGGGAATAAAAACTAAGGTCCAGAGCTCACCTTTTTGCCTGAATTATTAAGTGATAGAATGGATTGTTGGGAGGAAGTGAAATGCCTCCACAGATCTGCGCCTAGATTCTTGAGGCATAGATGATCTGTCCAGACTAGGTGGCATAGAACTTTCCCAAGATAAGAACACCACTGAGAATGATTCAGTGATACTTTTTCATTATTTTCTTCTTACTTTTTAACCTTTACCTTGCTCCTATGAGACAGATAAAGGAGGTATAATTATACTTCTTTTAGGGAGGAATAAACTGAGGTCTGGGGTAGGCCAGTGACTTGCCAGTGTCAGAGTGTCAGTGAGATCTCTGTGTCTTCAGTCCCGTCGTTTTGCTATGGGATCTTCATCCACCCTGAGATGGCACACATATGCCTCCTGATGTGTGATTGGACCTGGGAAGTTGCTCATGGCTCAAGGACATTCTATCATCCCTTGGGGTTACCTGATATTCTCTTCTAGGCTTCCTTCTGTTTACCTTTTCCAGCTAGTTACCTGGGCCATACTCAAACTGTTCACTGTTTCTCAACTTCCTGGGGGTGGGCCCCTTCAGTGTCTTTGGTGGCACCTGGTAGTGACACGGTGGGGGAAGAGGAATGTATGGATCAATTATCAGAGTTTCCCCCACCCTTCCTTGACTCTTCCCACTCCTGCTGCCTTTGCCTCTCCCAATCGTGGCATTAGGCGTACCCATTGCTATTTCTACTAGAGTTTCTACCAACTTATGTTGAGAAGATAACCAAATTAGCCCACATCTGGGGTCCCCCACAGTCACTGGGGCCGAACCTTCTTTCAGCCTTAGCACCTCAGCATGGTGTTATGGAAAAGGAGAGAGAGAGAGAGACCCTCTGGGCCCAGAGTCTCAATTTACAGCAGAGAACACAACTCCAGAGAGAAGCTGGACCATGCTCAGGGTCCACAGGAAAGGAGTCAGGACTAGAATTCAGCCCTCAGAATTCCATGTCTAACACTCAGAAGGGTAGGCTCTCTAGAGCAGGAGCCTAAATGGGAAAAGAGTAAGCCAGTGTACTTTATCATGCCTTAATTTAAAATTTGTTTTAAGTTTATTTATTTTTGACAGAGACAGAGCGTGAGCATGAGCTGGGGAGGTGCAGAGAGAGAGAGAGGGAGACACAGAATCTGAAGTAGGCTCCAGGCTCCAAGCTGTCAGCACAGAGCCTGACGCGGGGCCTGAACTCATGAACTGTGAGATCATGACGTGGGCCGAAGTCGGACATTTAACCGACTGAGCCACCCAGCGCCCCTATCACGCCTTAATTTAAACATAAAAATGTTAAGACTCCTCCAAATCAATGATTCCCAAATTTGAGTGGGCATCAGAATCACCTGGACAGCTATAGATCCATGCATACCATGTCCGATTTGGTACTGTTGGGTTGAGGTCCAAGCATTTCTGACAGATTCCCAGGTGATGCTGATGCTGCTGGTCCATGGGCTGTCCCAAGGACTCTGTGCTTGCTTTGGGAACTGGAAAGTTGAGAAAACCCTAAAGACACCCAGAGTTGGAAGGGAAATCATTCAAAACCAACAGGTGGTGACAGTGGCAAAGAGGTTTAGGCAAGTCCAAGAAAGTAAATGTAATAACAACTGAGTGCCAGCCCAGGGACTGCTGTCCCCCTGTATGTGAGGGAAGAACACTCTTCCCCCAACATATATGCCCACCAAATACATACCCCTCTCTGGGGTTCTCTCCCTCATCCTGCCCCAGCTCTGCCCACTGGAAATCCTGCTCTGATTTGAGAGAGTGATTGCTGTGGCTTGGAACTTAGAACCCTGCTTTGCTGACTACCAGGGAAGGAAATTTAGAAGCAAGAGTTAGCTTATATTTCTAGCACCATCACAGTGCCTGGTTCCACTAGTGTTTATTGAATGGAGAGATGAAAATGTGCATCTCATCATACCCAGAAAATGTTACTGGGGTCCTGCTGGAACTCTAGATGTGGGGCTCCCGTAGAACCACAGCCAGGACACTTATCCATGAGGACATCATCCTTGCTGGGCTACCGGTATCTCTTGTATTGAGCTCTGTAACCCCAGAGACTAGCACACCTCTTGGCACAGAATAGACACTCAATAAACATTTGTTAAATGGGTGAATGAATGAATACATGAATGAAGGTATAAAGGAAATGAATTGTTGCTTGAACTTGTAACCCTAGCTGAGGGAGCTTACATCCTAAAATGAGTTTTTATAATTTCCAACTGAATGACATCCTCCCTAACAGACTTTAGAGACCCATCCCATACATCTGTACCTGAACTGTCTAGGATGGGTGAGGTATAATAGGCTCTAACGGGAAAGCCTTCAAACCTAAAAGACATTCTTTTATAATTCCGTACACCGGGTTGCAATCTTGGATCTAGTATTCTGATTCTATGCACAAAGGGGAAATGGTTTGTACACCATCAACCACCTCAGCAATTCCTGGCAGGGCCGCATCACCACACCAGTGATGTCTCAAGAGTCAGGCTGTGTGTGCATGTGAGCAAGAGGGGAGACTGAGTCCCTCAACCCATGAACTTTCACTCGATTCAAGGATTATATCGGGTTAGCAATCACACACTTCTAAAGGCTCCTGTCCTTTCAAGGGGTAGAAGAAAATTATAAATTAGGCAAGCATGCATTCTTTTGTGCTTAAGGTTGATTTTTTTCATACCCTCTGATACTCGAAAGCCAATGCTGAGATCAGTTAAACAAATAAGCCATTAGGCTTAAAAGAGCAGCTCATAATAGGCATTTGAGAAAAATAAGACCCCATAAAGAAGGGTACAAAATGCAAAGCAGGTAAATGCAAGGACTTTCCTCTGCTTGGGACAATGGCTTCCGAGTGGTCAATGGCTTCATTACCACAGCCCTGTTTCTGCAGCTCCAATAATTGAGTAAACTGTGCCAGCTCGGCGTGAGGCAGATAGAAAGGAAAAGCAGAGTTGTTCATGGGGGTGGGGCAGCAGAATGGAATTCTGTGCGCACAATGACAGCCAACTGTGAACTGTTTGCCATTCTCATAGGATGTTCTGCCCCGTTTTGACTTGCGTGAATAATCTTAACAGTCTCGTATTACTTATTCAGGACAAGGTACCCAGAATGTGTGCGTACTCTGCCAGTGGTGGCAGTGATAGTGACAGTGACCTGCACTATGGAAATAATGGTTTTGGAGCTGGAAGGGGCAAGTTAGTGAAAGCAATGAAGAGCGCCACCCAAGGTAATTTCTGGAAGCACCTGGGCATTCGGGGCTCCTCTCTCTCTGGGAAGCCGCTGATTCTGCCTTTCACAGTACTCTGCCTCCATGCCCCCACCCTTGACTTTACATCTTAGCCCCGCGTTTTCTCCTGAGATCTAATTTTCTGCTATGTACAGAAGATTGTCTATGTGTATCAATTTGTTTTCTGGTATAATCTTCATGACATTTCAGTGCAGTCTATAAGGATTTTATTTCCAAATCTGGCATCTCCCAAAAAGTCTCCAATTGAGTTATCTCTGTAATGAAGGAATGACTAGAAAGATAACTTAGTTCTTAATTACATCCTCTGGCAAGTTAAATCATCCAGTGAGCCATGGATGGAGTCTTCCAGGCTTTTTACTAATATCGTGCTGGGTAGCTCTGCACCTGTGAGCCATGCCGTTATGAACAGATCTGTTTCTGAAGTTCAGACTTGCTCACTGTATTTTCTTCTTGAATCAGAATTGGCAGCAGAAAAACCATCATCCCTAGGCATTTAAAAATGTGTATATTCAGATGGCCTTTCCTTATAGCTACAGGAGGACAAATGGACCCATAGCACAAACTGGGATCTGGGATCTACTTTCCTTGTAATCTACTCTGGATTGTCCAAAGTATTTCAGTATTGCAATGGAGAATCATTTTGTCATACTAATCAACGTTTTTTCTAATACTAATTTATCAATTATATGATGAAAGCATGACTTTCTTTTTTAAAACAAGACTGCTATATTGCTTTAGGGAAAACCTATCAAGCATGTGTGTTTCCAGTTTCCAAGAGTCTTGGCAACATAACATATGGGCCTATTCTGGCTATGCCATTCTGAGGACTTTGCTTCTTCTCTGATAGACATGCATGGGATCTTTAGATGACCTTGGGCAGAGGAGAGGCATAACCTGAGATATTTCCAAAGGATCACTCTGGCTGCCATGTCATGAAGACTGAAGAAGCAAGATCAGCTCAGAGGCTATTATAGTCATCCAGGCAAGAGATGTTAGTGACTGGAACAGGGTGGTCTCAGTGAAAGGAGTGAACAGCACTGGCCAGTAATGCTCTCTGCAGGGATGGAAATGTTCTCCATCTGCACTGTCCAGTACCAGAGCCACGAGCCACATGTGGCCCATAAGCACTTGAAATGTGGCTAGTATAAGAAAGGAAATATAAATTTAATTTTTAAATTTAATTTTTGCTCTTGTTTTCGTATGAGTTCTTACTTGGCCCATTCCATTTTTTCCTCTATTTTATTTTTTATTTTAATTAAGTTCAACTTAAATATTAATAGCCACATCCATCTAACATAACACAGGGAGTGAGAATGGTCTGATTCCAGGTCTAGTTAAAAAGACAACATAATTTATTGATAGATTAGAGGGTGGGGGTAAAGGAAAAAGCAGAGTCAAGGGTGGATCTGATGTTTGGGTCCTGGAAGGGACTGACTGACTGAAATGGAGAAGGCTAAGGTTGGAGCTTGAGGAAGCATCTTGGACATGCTCAGTGTGAGCTGCCTGTGAAGCAGGTGGAGGTGTTGGGTAGGCAGCATACTATCGGCATCTGCAGCTCAGCAGATGAGGTCTGGTCTAGAGATGTAAATTTGAGCATCAGCACATAGCAGATCCAAGTGAGGCCAGGAGGGGAAGGAGTATTGATAGAGAGAGGACTTGGTCCTCCCAAGTTGACTGGTCAGGGAGAAAAGAAACAGCCCCCAAAGGAAACTGAGCAGAAGCAAGTAGGGAGGGAGCAGTAGACCCAGGGAAGTGTGGTGTCTTAGGAGTCCGGTGTAGAAAGATGTCAGAGGTTGAGGGGGAGTTCCATGATTCCATATGTAGCTTGATACAAGCTTTGTATTCAGTGATCCTGTCTCTCCCTCTGGCAGTGGGCTTCCAGTGGGGAGTAGGGGTGGGTGGGGTTTGGAGGGAAGTAAGTGGAGGAAGAGGAAGATGGTCCAAAGGCAATTTGAAAGCATCTTGGAAAAGGAAACCAGATTAAGCCAGGGGTGTGTGGGTGGCTCAGTCGGTTAGGCATCCGACTCTTGATTTTGGCTTAGGCCACGATCTCATGGTTTGTGGGATCAGTCCTGCATGGGGTTCCTCGCTGACAGTGAGGAGCCTGTTTGGGATTCTCTCTCTGCCCCTCCCTCCCCTCCCCCCACTTCATGTGTGCTCATTTGTGCTTTCTCTCAAAATAAATAAATAAACTTAATAGAGAGAGAGAGAGAGTTTAAACCAAACTGTGTCAATGAACAGCTACTGGAGTATGAAAGAACTTACTTTAGGGTGCAAATTTTAACATTGCTCTGTTTAAATGAGTCATGCAAAGCAATCAGGAATGAACATTAGGGGATGGCCAGGGATCCTGGTAAACAGTGAACTTGTTCCTTTAACTTTTCTTTTTGATCTTTTTGCAAAAGGAAGGGAGTCTCAGACTGAGTTGTTTTTTCAATATACTCACTTTGCTCATCCTAATCTCTCTACCCAGAGCAAATCCCATCTGAGAGGAGTGGCTCCTTTCATAGTATTGCTGCAGCCTCTGAGCGAATGGTGCTTCTTTGGATAAGAAGCTGAGGTCTAGGTAGAGTAACTCTGGAAGCAGCACCACCAGCAAGAAGATGCTTTCCTCTAGCCTGGCACCTGCCCTCTGCCTTTAATAGTGAACTTGTTGCCAGAGCTCTGTCATCTACACACCCTCACAGAGCAGGCAGCCGCTCACCCTGGCTGATGACAGTGTTGCCAGGAAGAAAGAATGTATGCAGACAGCTGGCGTGGCTGTGGGTGCATGCTGGCTTCCAAGAAACCCCAGGAAGGGGCAGGTATGGTGGATGCAGCAGTGTTAACTTCTTAAATGCTGGCAAAATTGATCTGAAAAGGAAATAGAAACGATTCAGAGAAAAACACTACAAGGAATGCATGTCCTGGGTATGTGGTTAAGATTGTCTTCCCTTCCAGTCACCATTTTGCCTGGTTTTCATCACATGCACCTATGAAAGTGACCCACCCTTACCTGTTTAAGTAACATGATTTTGTAATAGAGGTCCCCACCCTGCAGAATGGAATTGCCAGTAGACCAGGAAGCTTTATTGGATGTTCTCCAAGATATGGTCCTTTCTCAAATACGCCCTCTCTCCCTGGCTTCTTGCAATTTCCCACAGGTAGAGGAAGGCACTTGACATTGGCAGTCTGTCCCTCCATGGTTTGTGGGAAATGCAGAGTCAGGGACCTCTGCCTCGCACCCCATACACTACCCACCAACCCCTCCCCCAGGCCACTGCTCCATCATTAGCCACTTGCCCTGCCAATGACAGCATGCCTGGGAGGCCTTTCCTTTCAAACGGAGTGTCCTGTGACCCCACATTCCCTTGTTTTCTCCTCCCCACTTGCTTCTTTAAATCATACTGAATGTGGCCAAAGAAACCTACTTTCCAAAACCCTGCCTACGGGCTCATAAAACACTAAAGTAAATACACGTCTTTTCTTTCAAGGTTGGTTTCTTTAGCTTAACTTTGAAATATATTTGAAAATTCCAGGTTGTTAGAGCAGAGCAGCAGGAGCAGGATTTAGGAGCTGGGTAGGTGGCCCAGCGGGTGAGGTTTCCAACAGAAGTAATTTTCTGGCTTTGTTTCCACAGAGATGCCCACTCTCATTTGCCAAGCTAGGCATAACAAACATTCCTGCCTCTTTCCTGCATACAGGGGCTTGGAGAAGGCATGAGCATGGGGCAGAGGTGGAAGGGGATGGGGAGAGAGAGCAAGCCAGGGGCAGAATGTCAGATGAGGCAAGACCCAGCGAGCTGCAGCAATGGAGCCCCGATCTCTGAAGGGAGGTAGGGGAGTCTCACCCCTGCCAAACCTGCTGGACCTGGTTAGTAAAAAATCAAATAACAGTCTCTAGCTGATGCTTGTCTCTCAAGCTTCTAGCTCCTCTACCAGGCTGTGCACCACCACTACCAATCCCCCCAGGTACCTCAATGGTAGAAGTACAAACTGAAGCCGGTCTTTTTCTCTCTAGAAACGTCTACTTCCCAGGCTCTCTGTCTTAACTGGTGGTCTTGCCCTTCTTTTAGGAATATAGTCTGTGAAGTTAGTTTTCCTGGACTCTTTCTTCTCTCACCTTCCACATTCTGGCAGTCCTGAGAGCCTGCTGGCTTCCCTACCACATACTTCTCGAATATTCCCTCTTTGTAGCTCCTCTACCAGTGCCCCCATAGGGCCTTCCTTGGTCCACACAGCCCACTTGCCAGTCCCACCCCCCCCCCCACAAATGCATCATCCTATCATGTTGTTCCTTTTGCTGGAAGCTTTTCTAGGACTCTCCATTACCCACAAACAAAAATCCAATCTCCTCCTCCATAAGGTTTGCAAGGCCCACCTTGGCCTTGCCTTTCCTACTTCATCTTTTTCCATTTTCTGTCTCAAATTTTATGTTTCATCAGAATGCTCCCTCTGTCCTGAATACATGATGCTGTTAGGGTCTTCCATACCTTTGCTCTTGTGATCTCACTTCCTGGAATATCTTTCATATCAATACCTTTCTTCTCTAACCTTCACGTAACTCCTACTAACTTAGTCTTTAAGATTCAGTTCAGACTAGGAAGTCCTCCCAGATGCTCCTCCATCAGCCATACCTCAATTACTCTTCCTTGTCTGTTCTCCTGTAATACCCTGATTTTATTTCTGCCACTCGTCACTTGAGATTGTACTTATTTCTTTGCACAGTAAACTCTCTCACTAATGCCAAGATTGCCCCTCATTTATGTTCTGCACTTAACACAAGGCCTAGTTTAATAAATGTTAAACAACATCATAAATATTGAATAAAATTATAACTAACTCTCAAAACTTGTTAAGGCCTTTGGTTAGCTCCTCTAATCAAGCTCCATTTGGACTTTTCCTTGTTCTGAGAAATAAAGACCCAGAGTTGCTACCTACTAGGACATTTCTCTTTCCCTGGTGGCTGTGCTGGAGAAAGCAATGAATCCATTTTCCATTTTTTTTTTAAGGATGTAGAATTTTAGCTTATTCTTCAATGATGATTCTTCATGGGTGCTGAGGAGGCATTTCAGAATCCGTTGCTTTTTTGTTTCTTTCATATGGCTCCATGAACCCTGGCTTGATTTTCATAATCTCTTCCCCACTTTGGGAATTGTTGTCACAGACAGTCAGTCTTACTGATGAAAATGCATCATACCCTTGAGATCTGAAAGAGACAAATCAAGATTGAAAACCTTTGTTCTTGCCATATTTGTTCTTTGAAAATTTCCATGTTGAACTGGATAACTGGATAGGTAAATGAGACTGGCAAAAGAATAAAAGCAAAGAAGATGATTGGCCTCTAAACTAGTTCATTTTGGTTTATTCGGCCCTTGCTTGGTGTCCATACCAATGCTGGACACTGGGGGTTGAGGCCAGGTTAGTGACAGCCCTGCTCCCTGGATGCTTCTAAACCTGAGGCACCATCTAAGTGAGGAGATCATCAAGGACCCTAAACAGTTGTGTTCTACTGCCCA